AAATTCTCTTGCTCTTTATACATGGAAAGGACTTGGGTTTGTGTTCCACCATGTGGAAAAAAGTCACCATGTATTGCATTAATTTTGTTCTTTCTCTATTTTTTTAGGACACTCATGGAGTCATTTTTACAATTTGGGTGCTCCACTTAACTAGTTTTCTCTCAGAGCTGTTGACTCTCATAACTTAGCAGATCTCAGCAGTCTTTTCTTTAAGTTCTGGAAAAGTGGATATTTTCCAGTATATTCAGCTCAACCATTGAGTTAGGAGTACAAGAACACTTGAGTACCTTTGTTTTAAATAATAGTTTGTTCATAAATGTTATCTGTTGATCTATATGGTATTGTGTCTGCCAGCACCATTCATCATGTGCTTGTTGCTCTGCAGAGCTCTACAGAACATCCACCCTCCCTCTCCAAATGGAAACAAGTTCCCATCACAGAAAGCTTTCAACCCAAGTTAAATGACAATTGTTAGGGAAGCATGAAGAGAGACATGGCATTAATCAATGGTGAGGTGGGGTTTTCAGCAGGGAAAGGAGAATTTAAGTGATCTGAAATTGGATGAAGAGTTGTATTAGTGAGACATATGGATGATATATGAATATTGAGATTGTATGGAAAAATATTGGAAGAGATTCTGTTTCAAAAGCTCATTATACTGCTGATATCCAGTGGTATTAGGCTGATACTATCAGCTGATTTGGAGGGTGTTTGTTGTCTTGATGGACTTTCAAAGTCTGGAACTGATGAGATGGATGTAGTTTGGTAGAATGAAGAGGTGCTGAGGCAGTAGGAATATTGTCAAAGCAGTGGTGTGAGGAAATGGTCTGAATACAAAAGGTGGGATGAGCTGGTGTTAGCCAAAACCAGGGTAATGAGAAATAAGGGTCTGGATGATATTGTAGTAAGAAACTACTTTGTCTATAGGTAGAATCTTTTCCAGTTGAATGTCATTAAGTTCTGAAAGAGATTTAAGAAGTGTCAGCTAAGAGGGTCAGAGCACTTGGGCTGTGGCAAAGTTACTGATTTGTGTTTATATTCTGAGAGCTGTTTAAACTCAGTTCTATGGAGTGTTAACCCTCGGTGCTGTTAGCCCCTCAAATCCCATTAGGTTTGATAGTTGATCCTGAGTTTACAGCTGACCTTATCTAGATAAAATTATATAAGGTGCTGATTTAAGAAGAGAATAAATTATTATTGACCAAACATCAACCTCTTTCCTTACTTTTAACAAATCTTGGAGCAATTTTGGTTTGTATTGATATTTAAAAGGAGGCAAGAGCTCTACCTCTGTCTGCCACAGAGATGGATCAGTGCTTTTTTTGTGTGGTAACAGGAAATAACAGACCCATGCAAGCAAATATTCTTTGCTTCCTATCCTGGGTGTAGCTCAGGGTTGGAGGCAGCAACAATAGAACTGGTCACCTGAAGATGTGTCATGACAAAGAGAGATTAGCTTTGCCAAGTGACTGAGATACTTATTCTCTTTAGGAAATAAATACCCCTAGGAAATTTAAAAAAAAGTTTCTGTCTCCAGTATTCACAACTCTGTAAAGGTCTCCTGTGGCAGCCTGTGTTTCTTTTAACCAGTCATCTGTTTTCAATTAAAAGGTAATCACCATGTATTTAATTGCTAGCAGCCTCTTCCATTTTTTCTCTTTTGTATCCTGAAGGAGTCCAATAAAAAGCATTGCTGAAACAGCACTAACATTCATTATGGGCAGCATCTTGTCAAGTGATGTATTTAATTTTTAAGCCATTCAGGTGATGTTATAGAGTTATAGAATCCTTTAAGGTGGAAAAGACCTTTGAGATCGAGTCCAACCCTTAACCCAGCACTGGCAAGTCCACCGCTAAACCATGTCCCTGAGTGTCACGTCTACATCTCTTTTAAATACTTAGAGGGATGGTGACTCCACCACTGCCCTGGGCAGCCTGTTCCAATGCTTGACAACCCTTTTCATGAAGAAATTTTTCCTAAAATCCAACCTTAACCTCCCAACCTGAGGCCATTTCCTCTTGTCCCATCACTTATTACTTGGGAGAAGAGACTGATCCCCACCTGGAGGAGTGATAAGGTCCCCCTGAGTGTCCTCTTCTCCATGGTACAGAACCTCAGCTCCCTCAGCTGCTCCTTTGCTGCTTTGTTGCCCTTCTTTGGACATTCCAAGACATTCCAAGCCCTCAATGTCTTTCTGAGAGGCCCAAAACTGGACACAGGATGCGAGGTGTGGCCTCACCAGTGCTGAGTATAGGGGGACAATCACTTCCCTGATCCTGCTGGCCACACTCTTTCTGATACAGGCCAGAATTCCATTGGCCTTCTTGGCCACCTGGGCACACTGCTGGCTCATGTTCAGCTGCTGTCAACCAACACCCGCAGGTCCTTTTCGCTGGGCAGCTTTCCAGCCACTGTTCCTCAGCCTTTAGGGCTGCCTGGGGTTGTTGTGACCCAAGTGCAGGACCCAGCACTTCACCTTATTGAACCTCATATAATTGGCCTCAGCCCATTGATTCAGACCGTCCAGATCCCTCTGTAGAGCTTGCTAACCTCCAGCAGATCAGCACTTCTGCCTAACTTGGTGTTACCTGCAAATTTTTTGAGGATGCCCTTGATCCCCTCATCCAGATCACTGATAGGTACTAAACAGACATGGCCCCAGTACTGAGCCCTGGGGAACTGCACTTGTGACCGGCCACCAACTCTATGTACTCCATCCACCACGACTGCCTGGGCCTGGCCATCCAGCCAGCTTTACACCCAGTGAACAGAACACCCATCTGAGCCATAAGAAGCCAGTTTCACTGGGAGGATGCTGTGGGAGACAGTATCAAGGGTTTTACTGAAGTCCCAGTAGACAACATCCACAGCCTTTCCTTCATCCATTAAGCAAATCACCTGGTCATATGTAGAAGGAGATAAGGTTAGTCATCATGCTACCATGTTATCAGAAACCTCTATCATTTATAGCTTCCTGTAATGCATGGTAAATGAGTGCTGTAACCCAGAAGGATTTCCTTGTTCATTCTCTACCACCCTCCTCCCTAATCCCTATTGTTTGGGGGCACTGGGAAGGGAGGAGTTGCAATTCACAGGAAGCTTGCTGCTGGCAGTGTTCTTTCAGGCAGGGTTAAGACCCGCTGTGCTTTGTCATTTCTCTCTGGTGAGCACTGGAACAGAGCTGACAGTCAAAAATTGCCTGTTTTGGGTGTTGCTGGTGTCTGATAGCATTTCAGAGGTGTGTGCAGGAGTCTTCAGCTAGGCAAGGTCCTTATGGAAGACAGTTGGAGGATTTTTATGGACCACATTACATACCAAGTGCCTTTTACTGCTAATTTCCAGCCCTTGCTGGAGTAGGGTGTCCTGGAGTACTTTAACATGTTGGTTAGAATATCTCCAACTTTTTGTGAAGGAGTGAATTAGTTTGGCTACTGTAAGAACAGTTTCCATCCTCATTGGGCTGTGAAAAAAATCTGTCTGGTGGATCACATCCATCTTTTCTGTGGTCTGGAGGATAAGCAAAGTAATTGTTAGTAATTGTGTCTTTCTTTGAGGTAGGTAAATATGTTCTAGAGGAGTTAGACAATAGTAGGTGGATATGATCTAGGAAAGAGAGAATTTTTTGGTGTCTTAAGACACACTGATATAAAGCACAGAATCATTTCTGATTTTTAAGTTGCTGTAGAAGGTGTTTCTGTCCTGACTTGCACGTGTAGGTATTGTGGTGCTCACAGAGATCACTTATCTTTTACAAATATTTGAAAGTTTTTAAAAATTCAAAGGAGAAAAGGCTAAGTTTTCGCCCTTTGTTTTAATTCTGTACCAAGGAATTGCTGTAACTTAGGCTCAAAGTTTTCAATTAAGACTCTGGGATATAAGGTGAATGAATTTTCAAAAGGTGTTGTAGTTAAAGAACCCTTTACCTTCTCTGTGAGCTTGAGCCAGTTTCCCCTGAGAGGCTTTGCAGGGCTGATCTGTAGCTGGTAGAAACTGGCAGTTCTGATTCCCTCCCCGGCTCCACACCCTTTCCTTCTAAGCCAAGCAAGGGTAAAAGGGCAGCTTTTATTTTGGCTTTACATTGTGGTTTAGGTTTCTGTTCAGGTCTGTCAAACATTACATCACAGTATCTGAGCAAAGTTCTTTTGCACATGGGAAGTTGGGACCATTAATTACAAGTAGCACTAAAAGTAGCACAGTTACGCAGGAGTATAAATGCAAAAGTGGGATAGTCTCATGAAGGGGAAGTTGCCTCAGATCCACACATTTTAAAATTGCCATGCATGCCAAGAAGGTTGTTAAAGTCTATGTGAGTGTTGAAACTGTAAAAATTTGGGCAGAAAACAAACTGCTGCCGTAGTTTTAAATGGGCATTTCTGTGGTATAGTTTGCATTTGTTTTGTTTATTTTTTCTGGACACTTTCCTTATTCTGCTGTCATTAGTCTACATCTCATTATATACTCCTAGAGAGTACATTTCTCTTGCTTGTTAGGATGGTGTAGGTGGTAACTTGCAGTGGTACAAAGGGCTGAAGGAGAGATAATCAGCTAAGTCATTACTCTGTGCAGAGAATGACTTGCTGACTTGCTGCATACAGCTTACTTATCCCACATTCTTTAGGACCTAAAATGTAGGAATTGAAAACGTAATAGAAAAACTTCAACTTACTTGTTTAAAAAGGAAAAAAGGTATGGTTGAATGATGAATACCTGGTAAAAGCTGTTAAGTTGAGGATCTTAGATGGTGCAGTGAGTCTGGTGGAGCACAATTCAACACAGTAGCCTGAACTAAATAGTCTTAATACAATGCTGCATTTCTCTCATTTTCTTTCTCAAATATCTCACCCTGAATCTGCATCAAGGTACAGATGGTTCATTTGCTATGGTCTGACATAGCTCTGGGTTACCACATGGCACTTCTCAGTAGTTTGTGCTAAATGTTTGAAACATTGTGTACTTCTTTCCTAAGCAGTGTTTCTCTTTCTTATGTTTTATTGCCCAGCTATCCATTGCAATCTGAATCCAAATGGTATTGATCATCCTGTCCCCACAGAAGGTATTAATCTACAACTTGAAGGTGAAGGAGTTGAATCGCCCTCGGTTAAGAACACTAGTGCCCCAAAAGGGCCTGAGTCAAAAGAGACACCCAAGAGACAAGTGGAGCCAGAAATATCTAAGGTAGGTAGGACTGGATTCTTATTTATTTTGGTGACTCTTAAAGAATCCAGGCTTCTTGAAGTCCTGGCTACTGCTTAAAAAGCATTTATAATTCTGTTTAAAGACATAAAAAGGTGCAAAAGTATCAGTCTGTGATACTGAGTGGTTTTTACAGAAGCAAAGTATTGCCATGGAGTTCTAGCACACACGCATCTTGGACATTGCACTATTTTATTTTTCTCTAAATGAAGATAATTAAAATACTGAAATTGCTCTTTTTCAGGCACCATGGAGACTTTTTTTTCCCTAAAATGACTTGGGTTACAATCAGAATGGGAACAGATGTTTTTCTTGAGTGTTTTTTTTTGTTTGCTTATTTGCTTTTTCCTGGGGCAGGTAAAGGAAGAGAAAGGTTCTTTGGATATATGAATATACAGATTTTTATATGGGTGACTGATTTTAATAAACTGTAACTCATTTTAGGTAAAATACTAGGCCAATTCTTCTGTGTCTGAATATGATGGTGAACAAACATAGTTCAGAGGTAAATTCCTAAAAACAAATGTAGCATCTCTTCTTATTCATAAGCTGCTGCTTTTTGTTTGAGTGCAGCAGACATGACTACCAAGTGCAGGTGAATGTGTGTGCTCCAGATACTTTGGGTATAGGACAAAAATTTGTCATATTAGATACATTTTTAACTAGAATGAAAAGTAAGAGAATGTTAAAAAAATAATTGTGAGAGATTCTTTAAAAGCCTTATCAGTCTTTTTTATCTTTAAAGGCCTAAAACCTTTTGGTTTGGGCATGATTTCGGCAGAGTGGAAAATCAAGTTTTTACTGAATCTGACACTTTGAGAGTTAGTAGAGCAAATAAAATGAGTGTCTTTTTCTTAACGTTCAAAAAAGGCAATAGAAATTATTTCAATGACTGAGCAAGTAGAAGTATTTCCTACTGCCAAGAGTACAATAAACCTAATAAGTAATACACATATGGTTGTGATGTATTTCACTTTTAAAATAAAATATCATTAAATGTTTTGAGCAGTAGCCTTGACAATAGAGGCTTGGTATGAATTCTCCATTCAGGTTTTTATCTAAAATATCTGGTTTTAAATTAATGCAATTAACACTCATTCATTCTGACTTAATTCATCCAACTAGATCCACTACAGTTTGGCAATGATTAAAATCACTGCTACTTTTGCAGTGTATTTGGTGGCCTTTATGAAGCATGTTGCTGATTTCTCTTGAACCCTTGGAGAACAGGTTTGTGCTTATCTGCTTTGCGTCATCCCTTTGGTAACAAGGACACCGAATTTTGGATGGGCTTTGAGACAAAGCTCAGCTAATAATTTATTTACCCAGCTTTTCACAGAGAAAGACAAGCTAACCCTGCTCATGTTTCAACATCAGCAGATGAAAATCTGCCCTATATTGAAAGCTGAAAGAGGTGTGTTAAACTTGGAGCAGAACTTACAAGCTTGGGAGTGAAGAAGCTAAATGATGCAACTGAAAATGGGCTCATGTGTAGTTGGCGTGGAACACAGTCATATCAAACATCTTTGCTTGCAAAAGACTTATCCTAATGAAAAATCAGGATGAAATATATCAGTGATTTAATGTTATGGAGCCTGTTTTCCACTGTCTGAGCTGTAATTGTTGGACTGATGGATAGAAAACAGGCTGTCCTTGGTGGAGACAGCTGGGGAAGAGGGGAAGCATAGTGCTCTCAAGGTAGTGAAATCCACTGTTGGTTTCCTACATCTGATTGCGGTAGCTTTGTTTAGAAAATTGGGCATGCTTCACGTTTAAAAACAAAACAAATCAACAGAATTTTTGTTTGATGGAATAAACTTGGCACAATAGTATCAAGCTAGTGGAATTTTTTTCTGAATGTATTGCTGCATGGTTAGTACCTTTGTCTTTTATGTGTTGTATTAATTTAGTGATGTTTGAATTCATATGTTATAGCCTGAGGTGGCCTGTCTTTTCTGGCTTGCTCTGGCTTAAATTTAAAAACTGTGTTGCTTTATCCTCGAAAATGTGAATAAAGGGTTGGATTTTAACTTGTGTGGCTTCAAGAGTTGAATTAAGCTGTTATTATGAAACTTCATCCATGCAGTCATATCTGTACAGTGCAAAGATGAGCAGGAATAGAGGTAAGTATTGTAAATAAAACATTGTGGGCAGAGCCATTTGTTTTATAATTCCTCATTGCTCAGATGTTTTAAAAAAGATTTCTTTGCAATCCTAGGTATCCAAATAATATTAACACATATCTCATATCCACAGTAGTGAGACTTACATTGCACAAAGCAATGCAATATATTGAATGTAATTTAAGATGCCTTCCAGACCCTCTTCTCTGCTTTCAGCTTTCTAATTTGTCTTCATGGAGACCACTTCCAGCACTTTCAACAGCTGGTTTTGCTGTCCAAAAAACCAAACAAAATCTCCTTTATAATGAAATGTGTCCTACTTTTTCTGTCCTGAGCTATAGAATTACAGAACAGTAGTAACTCATGTGTTACAGATAGATTTAAATTTCCTTTTTATGCAGCTACTGTAATGTAATTATGGGAGTAGAAGTATTTGTTTCTGTATTTGGGATGCAGACAATAGAGAGTGTAGTGTGAGTGAAGGATCACTCATTTTTAAGTTCCTGATGAGTATGGAATCTAAGTTTTATAGGCTGAGATAGAATTTGAATGGAAAATGGAACAGTGATCTTAGCCTCCCTCAGCTGGTTCTCTGAGGAACCACCTTATTACAAATACAAGCAAGACCAGAAAAGGCCGAAGTTATTAATATCTAAACTGATGTGCATAATCCAGTCAGACTCTGATAATGTACAGGGTATAATACAAATTAGGAAAATAGATGAAGTGTAAAAATACTTCAGTTTTTATTTGTGTATATCAATATACACATTTCCTTGGTCAGTAATTGATTTTTCAGCATTTATGGTATATAAAAACAAGCAGTTGAGTTAACCGGTTACTTTTACAGAGTGCAAAATTCATTGTACAAGGCAAGGATGCTTTCTAATATAGTTTTTAAAATATAAATTATTTCTTTAACACCATCTACATCTAACCTCTGTTATGTGTGTTTTGTGGAATTCTTTTTTCATTAAAATTCTGCTTCTGGCTCTGTTTGGTTTTAATATCATAGTTATAGAGTAGAGTTCTCTTAAAAGCAAACAAACAAAAAATTTTATTATACTTTTGGAGTCCTGTACTTCTCTGAGTATGGTTTAACAGGTGACTTTTCTAACAAGGTTCAGCAAATGATCTCTTATGGAAGTAGTAACTTTTATCAAGGCCTCCCACATGCTGCACTCACAAATCTGTGTTCATTGTGAACGTGAGACCCAAACCTGGTCTGTCACTTGTTAGAAGATTATTTATTCAGCGAGTTTTGAGTTCTAAGTAAGGTGTGCATATCTGGTGACACACTTTGTCTCATTATGTGGTAGCAGCAGTAGCAAGTAATAAAGGCTTTCTAATGGCAACCACTGCAGTTAGACTTTTTATGTTTTATTGCAGGTTTTTTTATCCGACTCGAGACAAATTAACAGTCCTTTAAAATGTTCATGAAAACTACGAAAAGTAAAAAAAAAAAAAAAACCTGGTAAAAGAAGTGAGAAGCTTTTATCTTGTCTTATGTTGCTGAGTGCTATATAGACACAATTAGACTATACTTTTTGTTGCAGTGTAGCTCAGTAATTCTTTTGGTTGCTTTTGCTGTCTTAAAAAAATACTTTTTTTCAAAATGACACCAAGCAACACTGAAGGGCTGATGAGCTCAGTAATAAGAGGATGAGAATTTATCTCAGCTTACTGGGCCCAGGTCAGGACTGAGTGGGGTGAAAACAGGTCATGTGGCTTCCCCAGGAGTGGAGCTCTGCTCTGATTGGAAAGTATTTGGGGAATGTGTGTTAAGTGTGCGATGAAAAGTCCAAGCACAAAAGAGTGTGGCTTTTAAATAATAAGGGTGTTACAGAATTCTTAGAAATATAAAAGTTTTGTCAGTTATTTAAAGAAAAAAATGTCCTGGTGCTGTTCTCTAATGAGAGACTAGAAAAAGTAATTTTCTAGAAGAATTCTCTAGGTTTTTAATCAGTGGCTTTTGTTTCTTAATGTTTTTTCTTTTTGGTCAAGCTTATCAAATGGGTTGGATGAGAAATACAGTATTAGGCCAGACTGGATGAGACTTTGAGCAACCTTGTCCAGTGGGAGTGTCCCTCCCCATGGCAGGGGTGTTGGCACTAGATGGTTGGTTTTTTTTGCAGTCTGTTGAGAAACACCAATGCCCACTGAACTGGGGCAAAGAGGTTTTACCGTTTTGTGTGGTCTTCCTGTGAGACTTCTGGTGGCCACAGGATATGGGAATAAGAACGCAGATTGGATTGACTGACGTTAACAAACATTTTACCTATTGAAGTGAAGGTTCAACAAAACCCCAGCTGGGCTGTTCCACTCCTCCAGATTTTGCTGTAAAATGGTGTGGCAGGGTGGGAGGGTGTTTGAATTGCAGACCTCTCCGTGTTTCCCAGTGGAGGTGCTCACCCTGGATGATGAAAGTGACACTTTCTGACAGACTGTTTTCTGACAGAAAGTTTGCTTTTCTTAGGTGATTTTTTTTGGAGCAGTAGTTAACAGATTACCAATGTCCACAACAGCTCACCACAATGAAAGTCAATACATATAGTGTGTGATTTATTTTTTTTTTCCCCAATTTTTTTTCCTCTCCCCACTCTTTGACTGCAACAGTGACAAAACACCAGTTATTGCATTGGGTCTTCCTTAATAAGAGCGAAAATGGGCACAGAATCTGAGTGTACAGTATGTCTGAAGAAGTGGACTTAATAATATTTGTTAAATGTTACTATCGCATAGCTGAAATAATTACACTTGAGGGCAATGTGCCTTTCTAATGTCTCATTCTGTGATTATAAGTAATGCACAATAATTAGTGTGCTTGCTTCTATCTTCATTTTCAATAGACTTTTTCTG